AGTCACATTGTGGGTGAACATACACATAATTCTTTATTCCACTATTATTGCCACTAGGTTTATTTTGCAATATATTGGATTATGAATTGACAAGACTACCTAAATAGCAAAACAGCATAAAACATTTTTGCATGCCTCAAACTTATAGCTCAAACTCATTATGTTAAATAATCATTTTTTCCTACCATTAGAGAATGTAAAATAGCATAAAATTTTTCGTATTAAGTCTGTCATAATCTAGGACCAATATAATTATGAAATCGTTAGAGGATCATGGCATACTTCTTTTCCCTTTGGGTTAAAATCCATTAATACCGTAAGGATAAAAAGCTTAACGAAATCCAATTGTTTGCCTTTAGAGACAAGGTTGAAGAGGATGGAATTGGAAATTAAAAGAAAAATTAGTGCTATAAAGTTGTATTAATAACACCTTTCTCTTTGGCCAGAAGATCAGTTAAAACAATCTTCAAAATAGAAAGTTTAAAATTAGCTGGAAAAAGAAAACTGAGGAGAATGAATTTGGAGAGTCCAAAACAGCTTAGATTGACTTAAAAGTTATTTTAAAGATAATTCTGGCTGTCAATAAAATTAGGATGATTAGTATGTCACGTTGAACAGTCGATCAGACTTTTACAACCAGGGTTCTATGAGAGACTCAAACTCTAAAGTTGTAAGGGCGCAGTCCCCAGCCTTTCTGGCACCAGGGACCAGTTTCATGGAAGACAATTTTTCCACAGATGTGTGTGGGGCGGAGGGGAGAGGAGGAGCTCTCAGGCAGTGATGCGAGGCCTGGTTCCTATCAGGCCACGAACCAGTACTGGGCCTCAGCTTGGGGGCTGGGGACCGCAGCCATGAGGTACCCATCAGATGTGACAGATGCGCACCTCTTCTACGGGCTTAGAATGGCACTAGTTATGTGCCACCCTTGGATGAACTGAGACAACAGTCACTGAAATAATTTTCTGTATTGTGTGGTTCAGATGAGAAACCAGAGGAAACCTGTGGTTGTTGGTGGGGTCCTGTAGATTACCTTTCAAGCCTAATTAGTATGACACTTGTAGAAAAGGTAAGCTTTTCCAGAAGGGTGAAGCTCAGAGTGTATATGCCTCCCTCAGATAGCAAGAATGCTGTGGGTTGTTATCTAGGACGTAGATAACACATTAGAAAATGTATGAGGCCGTTGTTCCAAGCACTGGCTAATTTTCCCACAGTACTTTCAAAATCTTCATGGTATAGTACTAAGGAGTAATATTGCATGTAACAGTTACAGCTAAGGAAAAAACCATTTTGTGCATTAACACCTATCATCTTATGGTAATAGACTTACTCTTTTTTCATAATGTTAAAGCTTTAGAACAAAAATTCTGGATGGTAAATGCCTACGTGAAATGTTCTTAATTTACAAACAAGGGTGCAACAATCTTTTCCTGTTTACCTGCTTAACCTCAGAATACAAAAAATAAACAAAAAGGCAAAAATCTCCTCTAAAAGAGAAAAGTCTCCAAAGAGACAACTAACTTTAACTCAAAATAACTAGATAACTATCTTGAGGTAATCAAAAGAACGTCTATGAAAAGCAAAGGCTACAAATCAGTCAGAGAATAATCATTACAACACTTACGACAGGAAAAAGCCAAGTATTATACACTTGTGAGCTGCGACCTTAAAAATCATTTTTGCTTTAAGTGGCATGCCAGATTCCATAAGTGTAACAGGTTTTTTACTGGCAAAAGTTCTTCCTTTTACAAATTTTCCTGTGTATAAATTTTCAGACTGAGGTTGATATTTGCACATAGGCAACG